AGGGCTGCTTGTGGCTGGATGCCTCTTACAACAGCCTGCGTATCAACTGTAATACGTCGCGAAAGGTAATGCTTCAGAAATGTCGCGATGCTGGCATGACCCATCATCAGGTTCTGCATAGCCTCACTAACATTACCTACACGGTGCGTTAAGACTACATCCTGCATTATGCAACTCAGATTGAATAGATAGACTTACCGTTTTCGTTGAACGCCTTCCCTCCAGCGTATCTCAGCGAATAAGGACGGGTGACTTGAGCAAATCCCGTGATCTCACCCAAAGTCCGGATCCATGGAAGTAGGGTGGAGTAGGGGAGGGGTTCGGTAGGGGAGACATCCCAACCATTCAGAGTCTGCACCGCTTTTCGAAACACCGGAACATTGTCCAACGTCCGATTCAGGCGTAATGGGAGCTCATTGCGGCCTGGCGGAATCTTGAGTCTGCTCAATTCCTCTGGCGAGGTTAGATTATAGGCTGCAAACGCCCGATCGCGGAAGAGCAGGCCAAGGAGGAAGACGTGAGGACTGAAGAGGAGCGTCTGATCGAACATAATCTCAGGAAGGGGGAAGGTGTTCCTTAAGGAAAAGTCCATCAGCGCATGATTTTCTTGTACACAATGATCACGTACAGGTCTTTGATACCAAGAAACTCCTTTGTAAATTCAAAAGTGAACTCCAGAAGCACTCGATGAGGGCCACCCTCAGGATCACGTAGAAGTGTAACTTGTATATGGCGATAACAGAGACTGAGGAGAGCCTGGGGCCGGTTCGCTGTAAACCCACCAAGTTGTAGATAGAGCTGGGCTTGTATCCTATAGCGACCGTGAGGATATCTCTTTTCGGTTGTTACTAGATTCGTTTGCAGAACTTGAGCCAGATCCTCGACATACATGCAGGCTTTATCTCGACCGATCTTCTTTAGATCGTGTTTCTTCGCCAGCTTCCTTAGTACCTGTTAGTTATGTTAGATATATATGCTCACGTGAGACTTTAGTTGGAAAGCCAGGTCAATGTACCTTGTGCATGCTCCGATTCATCTTTCCGTCTAGTTTCACACCAGTTGCTCTTTCATACACAAGCCGGAAAACCTTCCAGTACGTTCCTAGGGAGCTAGAGAACTTAGTTCCTCGGCGTTTCCTCCCACCTTTGCCCTGGCGCTGGCTAAGTAGCCAGTCAAAGAATGTGTATAAAGTGCTAACCGATACGGTTGCGTAAGCACGATAATAGTCTTTCTTGAGGTACGTCCAGCACCTATGCTGGATCAGTCCATGGATCTAGCGCAAGCTCCAAGGAGATAGGAGACCTACTGGTTCCACTGATCTTCCATACGATTGAGCAAGCGAGTACTGCTTTCCTTATAGTCTTCTTTGACGTATTCTTGTTCGTTGAAATTCTCCAGTTGTTGAAGGTAGTATTCAGGCGGATGATCGTCGTCGGGGAATACCCATGCTTCATTCTTTTCGATTTTGTCGGCAAATTCGTCTACGTCTGTCAGATCTGTATCCAGCTCTACACCATGGTCTGTGTCAGACGCAGAGTAATCGCTGTTGTTGGAGGAACTTTTAACGGATGAGTATTGTGGCATGTCGCACAATATATGCAAAAAAGAAGCGTGAGAGAGAGGTAAAGCAAGTACACGCAGAGCTAATAGAAGCAGAGCATGCGCCTATAGTTGGATGTCTGAGGCCAAGTGTGAAGGGAAACAAGAGTAACACAACGAGGCTTTGAGTTTGAAGAAGAATGCAGGCTGCAAAGGAAATAAGAAAAGGAAAAGAAGGCCTGGTTTGTATTGCTGCAGACGGGGAGGAGAGGGCCTTTAGTACTCCATCAGCAGTCCGATCTTGAATTCGGTTAACATTCACTTATAGTGTTTAAAAAATTGAGTCAGGTCACAGGCATGCTGCAGCATGCCTAACGAGAGAATAAATTAGCCCTTGCACTTATTTAACGCCTACGCTAGCTAAGGTAGGAAAGCCGGAGAGGTTTCCACTCGGGCCACTGCCCACACAATTAGGGGGGTTTTGTGGCAAGTTAGCATCCATAAACGGTGTCACAAGCTACCGAAATCAGCACCGAAATTGCCGTTGGATT